CCCCGGACAGTGCCTCTGCGCACCCGCGCAGCACGTCAGTGCGATCCAGCTCGACGCGTACAAGAAGCGCCTGCTCCTGCAGCTCCTCCTCCACGGCAAGGTGCGTCGGCGAAGAGGCCCCAAGCCGGCGGCGGCTCACCCCCCCTTCCATGTGTAGACCACGCCGCTGCCCAAGCACATCGCACCCGCCGTGGCGCGCGCGCTGCGCACGCCCAGCAGCGGCGTCGCCGGCAGCCTCGAGGCGTACGAGCAGCTGGCGCGCGTGTACGCGCGCCGGCCCGCGCTGAACCTGCCGGCCGCGCTGCGCACCTCGGGCGGCACCGCGGCCGACAGGGTCGACCGCGCGCAGGAGGAGCTGGCACAGCTCGTCGTCGACCACCGCAAGGTGTTTGAGCAGGTGCGTCGCGCGCCGCCGTGCTATTTGGGGGGGGGGGGGGCGCCTGTGTCGTGACGTTGCGCTGCCGTGACGCTTCGCCACCATGACGCTCCGCCACCGTGACGCTTCGCGGCCGTGACGCTTGGCCATCGTGACGCTTCGCGCTTCGTGCCGCTGCTGACGGCCCTCGCAGGACGCCAACGCCTGCTTCGTCGACAAGCTCGTGCAGATGTACCCGATGCGCCGCATCCAGCGCCTGCAGGACACGCTCAGCGCCGTCTCGCTGCGCGACGCCGCCGCGCTGCTGGGTCTCGGCGGCGAGAGCGCCGTGGCGGAGCTGCAGAGCAGCCTGCGCGAGATGGTGCGTGCGCCCGCCGCTCTTGGCAACGCCAGCTCACACTCAGCAGGTGCGCCTCCGCTGGCTCAACGCGTCCGTCGCGCCGTGTCCCGGCGCCGAGGACCAGCCGGGCAAGGCCATCCTCACTTTCGAGGCGCCCGCCGAGCAGTACCGCACCGCCGACGCGATGCGGCGCCTCGAGCAGCTCGCGCTCGAGCTGCAGCACAGCAACGAGCTCGTTGAGCGCAAGGAGCGCGCCACGGCCCGCAGCGGCCGCTTCCTGTCAAAGGTGCGTGTGCGTGACGTGAGCTCCGTCGCAACTGCCGCTCACTCTGCCCTCTAGGCGCAGGCCGCCCGGCAGCCGGGCTATGGCGGGTTTGGCAGCATCGACTGTGAGTGTCTGCGAGCGCGTGCGTGTCGCTGCAGCTCACGCCCCGCGCGCAGTGGACGACTTTGACGAGTAGCAGGCGCGCGCCTCCGCCCGTTCCCCACTTGCCCGCCGTTGGCTGTGGCAAATGACATGACGTTCTCGAGTCCAAGCATGGACGAGGCGTGATTCGGCCGCTGCGCAGAAGGCAGAGTGTGACTCAGGCTAAAGAAAGAGCGCAGGGGGGGGGCAGGCAGGCAGAGACGGGTGTTGGTCTTTGCTCTCAGGGCAACAATGGAGGAGCGCGCCTACAACAAGGACAACAGCAGCATGCTCAAGCTCAAGGTCTGCCGCAGACAACCTGCTGTGACTGTGCTGTCAATCTTGTAATTCTGTTGACAACAGACGTTGCTGACGGTCATGGCGGCAATGCCAAGGATGCAGGCCACCTGCTTGTACGTTGTCTTGATGCCTGCAGCAAGTTGTCTCCAAATGCGCCAGTAGAGGCGCACTACCTTGTTGGACGTCAGTACCTGGCTGCTGCCGCTGGACTGGGCCCTGTTTGAGTCCATGCAGCGGATGTTGAGCACTGCGCAGCCAAAGCGCCAATGTCAAGCTCTGCTGCTGCTGCTGTGGGAGGTGCCCTCTGGCTGGGTGTTCTGGCATGCCCATGAGGGCGCTGCCTGGGCAGTCTCCCGGCTCTGCACCAGCAGCAAAAGCTGGCGCGGCAGCATGAGCAGCCACGCCAAGATGCAAGAGAAGCTGCTTCTGTAGGAGCTGATGGTTCACAACTGCGTTGTTGATCAGTGCTGCCAGAGCAATGTAGCGCAAAATGGCACATGCCAGTCTTACTGCAGAGAACATCAGTTGTTGTTGCTCAATCTTGTGGTAGTCAACAGCAATCAGCGCTCAATGAGGTGATAGATCTTGAATGCAAACAAGCCCCTGCAAAGGCCTTGGCAAGAAGCTGCTCACTACAGCACAACATGCACACAGGCCTTTTCTTGCCAGGAGCATGTTCATCATGAGCTTGGCATCTGCATCTGCACCTGATGTGCATCACAAGGCCCTTGCCTTTGCTGTATGTCATGCTGCCCTTGCCCAGTCTGAGTGCTCAAGCTGGCACGCTGCTCATAGGCACAGCGCCAGCATGAGGAGCGCAAGGCCACTGCCAATGCAGAGACAGCTAAGGAGCTTGCCAGTCAAAAGGGCTTGGCCAAAGCTGCTTGCATGGCCCTCAAGAAGCGTGCTGCTGAAGAGGAGGAGTCCAAGCAGGCGTAAGAAAAGGGAGAAGGTGCGCCAGGAGGAGGAGGAGAAGGGAGGAGCAACCAAAGCATCACCATGCTTCCTGAGTGGCTGAGAATGCACTGTACTTGTTGACAGGCAGCGCGCACTCCTGCAAGCTGCTGTTCAACGGGGCAGTGCCACACAACCTGCCTGTCCTGGTTGCCCCCATTGTTGCTGCAGTTGTGGCACAACTTGCCAAGTACGCCAAGCTGGCTGCTGCCAAGGGCGCTTGTCTGCTATGCTGCTGGGACAGTCCTGCAGGCGCCAACATCAAGCTTGAGACCACTTGTCTTTTGCATGCGCAAGCAGGCCGGTTTTGCAGCAAACTGGATGTGCAAGGCGGTGCACACAGTGCCACAGGAGTCCAAGCTGCTGCAATATGCAAGCACAGCCTTGATGCAGCACCTGCAGCAGCGCAAAGACCTCTGCTTGGCTGCAGGCACACGGCACGTGTTTGTTGCCAATGGCCACCGCCTTGTTGCCAAAAAGGAGCTTGCCAAGGAGCTTGAGCTTGATTGTGTGCCACATATTGTGGCAGCAGATGAGGCCAACTGTCTCATTGCGCAAGCAACGCAGGTGCTGGGCAGCTGCATTGCTGTGCTGTTGGTCAACAGCAACATGCTGGTGCATGCCCTGCCAGGGGTAATTGCTGGGTCATCTGTCCTGTGCCTGCCACATTGCGCTCCTGCTACTGCAATACAGCATGGACCTGTTCCCTTGGTGACCTCAACAAGGCAACCTGCTTGCTTGCCATTGGCAAGAAGGAGCTTGCAAAAGGCTCCTTTCTGGCTTGCTTCCTTGGTGTGCTCAAAGGCAATGGTGCGCTTGAGGGCTATGGCGTGCTCAAGGGGTAGGGTGCAAGTTGTTGCCCCTTCAATGGTGCATTGATGAACCGCAGCTGCGCATGCCAGGCAGAGTGCCTCCTTGAGACGCTTGGAGAGCGCTTTGCCCTCAGCACAAAGCCTGGAGGCAATGGCTACAGCACAACTGCTGTGCCAAGCGGTGTCAAGCAAGCTTGTTGGCGCGCCTTGGCATCAGCGCAGCCTGTGAAGCCAATTGTCAGTATCTGTCTGCGCTACTGGGAGGAGCAACTCTGCATCATTGACAACGCGCTAGGCCAGGGCACACCTCAAGCTCCTTCCTTGCAACTCAAGCCTTTTGGCATTGACTTGCCCGATGCCAATGATCAGGGAAGGCTGCTGGTACACTGTGTGCAAAGCTGGCCATGGGGCGCCAGGATGCTGTCCACTACTGCGCACTGCTCATGTATGCCATGTCAGAGCCGCTGGACACACTGATGGCGCACAGCGCAGCAAGCAGTTGCGCACACCGGGACCAAGCCTGGTCTTGGCACCCCAAGGGCTGTGCAAAGCCCCTCCAAGCTCTTGCAGCTTTCTTGGTCTGCATGAGGCCCTGACTGCGCTTTGCTGCAGCTGGAGCAGGTTAGTCTCAGCTGCAGCTCCATCCAATGCTTCTGCTGTACTGAACGAGCAGAGGAACTGAGCAGATTCTTGCACAATTTTGTGCCGCAGATGCTCAAAGACACCCCAGTCACTGGGATTGAGGTGCACAATGCTAGTCTGACTTTGAAATATGGAGGCAGAGCTTTATGGCAGCATTGTAGTTGACAAGTTGCCAGTGTGACATGCCCTTGATGGCTGCAGGCATCAGGTGCCAGTGGTGGAGAATTTGCATAATCTGGTCTGAGCTGTGATGAAGATCACCTGTAACAACAACTACATCAGGTGAGCTCAGTCCAGCAGCTTGGCTCTACAAGCGCTGTACACTGACACCACTACAACCCCACATCAACATCAAGGAGTGCATTGATGCTTTGCAGCCCATTGTGCATCAATACTGGAGCTGGATGCTGAAGGGGCAAGATGTAGTCTACAGAGCTTCCAGCCTAGCAATTGCACTGGCACAAGAGGGCTCTGCTGATATCCCTGATGATCTGAAGCCTGTGCACCCAGTGTGGCCGGCGCCAAGGCCTCCTACTGCATCAAACATGCAGCTGTGATGACACCTGCTGTGCTGACACCTGCTGTGCTGCATGCCTTGCTTGTGCTTCAAAGACAGTGTCAAGCCTGCTTGCTGCGCAGTGTCATGGGCCGCTTTCTGCTCTTCCTCTACAGGGGGTAGCGCCTGGACAGCTTGCACTACCACATACAGCCATGTGCAGAGCAGACTGCCTTGGGATCATTACATGAGTGCCATGCTCAGCTGTGTGCAATGCACGCAAGAGGCCCACAGGTCACGCACAATATAGGTGTGGCAGACGCATCAGCGCAGAGACAGGCGCAACCGGGCGCGCATGCAAGGAACACTGTCTGGTCAGCCAAGCACATTGAAGTTTGACAGGCAACACACAAGGAGGAGAGTAATCAAGGAAGAGAGGAAGCAAGAAAAGGAAGAGAGGAGGAACAGAGGAGAGAGGCGGCAGGAGAGCGGCAGCGTTGGGAAGGAAGAGAGACAGAGCTGACCTTGCAGGAAGCTGACGCACGGCCAGCGCTGCTGCAGCGCGCCAGAGCTCATGGTCCGCCAGAGTGCCTGTTTGCCAGCTCCTGCGCCAAGGCTGCCCGCTCCACAGGGCGGGCACTGTCCTCAAGAATGGAGTCATACTGCTCTTGCAGGTCCCTGCGCTTGAGCTGTCAGAGATATGACGCCCTCCTGGCACAGCACACTCACAGGTCAAGGGCACAGATCCCAGTGGTGTACTTTGCACAGGCAGCAGGGTTGCACGCTAGTGCGGCAGCATTGCGCGCTGCCTGGGCAGTCTTGGGCCAAGGCTTCTTGGCAGCAAGCTTCTTGGCCCGCTGCTTGGCCTGGGCCTGCTCCAGCTTGATGATGAACATGTTCTTGGCTGCCTAATCTGCGGCGTGCTGCTGGCGCGCCTTGCTGAGCAATGGTAGGTTGTGTATACATACTGTAGAGCTTGCGCCTTGCAGTCTTTGACACTATCCCCCTCTTCAGCGTCACAGCAGCATGAGCATTGCCAATGGGCAAACAAGCCTCCAACTCACCGTCACACCCAGCTTCTTGCGCTTCTTTGCTGACACTTGCTGGCCCTGAGCTGCCCTGCAGTGAGCCAATAAGTAGAAGCGCAAAGGTGCAACTCACCTGCCTCATTGATTGCAAGCACGTAGATGGCACGCACTAGCCGCCTGCTGAGGGAGCCAAACAGCCTGCGGTTGCCGGCGCAGTCAATCACTGGCACTGGCACGGCGCCTGGCATAGCGGCAGACAAGTCCGCCAAGGCGGGCAATGGCGCGCACTTGGATTTCTTCTTGCCGTTTGCGTTGGCCAGAGTTGGGGCAAGCCTGGTCCGGACCTGCAATGGCGGCGGCAGGTGCCACTTGCTGCCCTTGCTTGTGAACTGCACAAGTTGCACCACGCCGCCCGGCGCTAGCTAACCCTAACCCTAACCCAGGTATCTAGGTGATGTGCTTGAAGTTCAGCATCAACAGCAGGCAATGACTGAGTGCGCAGTGGGTCTGGTTGGACATCTGCAACAACAATTTCTTGCACGCCTCTCTGTCCACCTTGCAATCTTTGACAAGCTCATCCTTGCCGTTGGTCAAGGTCAGCTAGGTCCCAGCACCAAGCGTCTCCTCAAGGCTCAGCATGCCCAGCTTGTTGCGCGTGCAGCTCTTGCTCAGGGCTCCAACCTCAAGATCTCAGCCTACTACATTGGCTCCTTCTGGGCAGGGTGCGTGTGGCTTGAGCTGCCAAGCCGCCAGCTTTGCTTGCTGCTGATCCCCTGGTGTGCAGAGAATACCGGCAAGGTGCTGGTATTCAGTCTGAAAGGGGTTCTGTCATAAGTACGGCGCTTTGTCCGAGTGGTCTAAGGAGGTCGACTAGAATCTGTATCTACATCGTTTAGCATTTGCTGCGCAGGTTCGAATCCTGCAGGCGTCGAATCTTTTTGCTCCTCGCAGCTGTGCTCCTCATCTTGCCGCCCTCATTGCCGCTTCGCAGCTCCGCGGGCGTCGTCTTGTTTCCAAGCACGCCACTGATGCCATGTTCAAGAGTGCAGTCAAGCACTGCAAGCTGTCGGGAAGCGAGAGAGTGAGACTAGGCGCTCTCCCTGGCCAGGCGGCGCGCGTTGTCGGCCGAGAGGCGCGTGCGCGCGCATGTCAGCCGTGCGCACCGCGCGCCGCACCCTGGCGCGCTGCTGACGTCTCCCGCCGCGCTGCTGCTGCTGCGCGCTTCCCTTGTCCCCTGCACCCCCACACCCCACCACCCCTCCTCATCATGAACTCGCCTCCCGCGCGTGCCGCGCTGCAAAAGCTCGCCCAGCGCTTCTCCGAGCAGGCGCGTGCCGGCTTCGGCGGCGGTGCCGGCGGCGGCGGCGGCGGCGCTGGCGGCGCAGGCGGGCCCGGCGGCCGGCCCAGCGCTGGCCTGCTCGGCGGCGGCGCCGGCCTGTTCCTGCTCATCGGCGGCGGCATTGCGCTCAACTCGAGCCTCTTCAACGGTGCGTGGCGTCGCGGTGTGGGCAGTGAGGAGAGGTGCGCAGCTGGAGAGGCCGCCATGGGCCGTGCCGCGGCGCTTCGCGCTGCCGATGATGCCGCGATCGCCGCGCGCGGCTGCGTGCGCACGGCGGCGACGGCGGGGCACCTCGGCGGCAATGTTGCTGGAGCGCTGCCCTCGCGGGTGTGCGGCTGCAGCTGGTGCGCACGCTGTGTGACGCCGTGCGCTGGCTGCGGCACCGTCGCACCTCTGGGGGGCCACTGCCCGTGCTGCCAGCCTCGTCCATGTCCCCTCCCGCTGTGCGGCCTCGCCGCTGCGTCCGGCGCGCGGCTGTGCTGCCGCCGAGATGGCGCTGTGCTTCTCACGCTGCGGTGCTGCCGCCGAGATGGCGCTTTGCTCCTCGCGCTGCTGCGCCGGCCTGCTGACACACACACGCCCACACACAGTCGACGGTGGCCACCGCGCCATCAAGTACTCGCGCCTCTCGGGCGTCAAGCCGGACATCTACAACGAAGGCACGCATCTTGTGGTGCGTGATGGCGTGCATTGTGGGCTGCAGCGGCTGCTGATCGTCTGCTTTCCTCCTCCGTCTTTGCCCTCCTCTGCTGCACCTGCTCTGCTGCACCTGCTCTGCTGCACTTGCGCTGCCCTCCGCGCGCTGCCGCTCGCCCGCTTCTTCTCGCTCTGCCGCACTGCCGCACTTCGCCTCCTCCTACCACACTTCGCCTCAACACTTCGCCTGCACTGCTGCACTGCCGTATTTGCCCTCTTCTCAGATCCCCTGGTTCGAGACGCCCATCGACTACGACGTGCGCGCCAAGCCGCGCAGCATCGCGTCGCTCACCGGCACAAAGGACCTGCAGATGGTCAACATCACCTGCCGCGTGCTGAGCCGCCCGGCCGTCGAGCAGCTGCCGACCATCTTCCGCGAGCTGGGCACCGACTACGACGAGCGCGTGCTGCCGAGCATCGTCAATGGTGAGTGGCGCGCCAGGGGGGGGGGGGGGGGGGGGGGGGGGGGGACGAGGGGGAGAGTGTGCGCTAGCTGCCCTGCTTGGTCCATCATTGGCCTCGCTGGTCGCCACCCCCGTTCGCTGCACGCTTGGCCTCCGGGCGGCGTCGCGCCGCTCGCGGATGTCTCGCACGTCGAGTGATCGTCCGTGCTGCCATGCTCGTCCCACGCTGGCCATGGCGGAGAGCACGCCGTGTTGCCCAGTTCAGTCCGAGCGGTGCGGCACCTGTCGCTCCGGTCTGTGCATGCGCGCGGTGCGGCACCTGCCCGTACGTCGCTACGCTCCGCGCTGTCACGCCGTGATGCACCTCTCCTGCCATGCTGACGCCTTGCTGCAGAGGTGCTCAAGAGCGTCGTCGCGCAGTTCAACGCCTCGCAGCTCATCACGCAGCGCGAGATGGTGTCGCGCCTGGTGCGCGAGAACCTGACGATGCGCGCGCGGCGCTTCAACCTCGTGCTCGACGACGTCTCCATCACGCACGTCGCCTTCTCGCCCGAGTTCACGCACGCCGTCGAGGCCAAGCAGATTGCGCAGCAGACGGCACTGCGCGCGGCGTTCCTCGTCGACCAGGCGATCCAGGAGAAGGCCAGCATCATCGTGCGCGCACAGGGAGAGGCCAAGTCCGCGGTGCGTAGTGTGATGACTGCACGTGCTTGCCTGCATGCTCATCTCTTGTGTCTAGGAACTCGTGGGCCAGGCGGCACGCGGCGGCTTCCTGCAGCTGCGCAAGCTCGAGGCGGCGCGCGACATTGCCCACATCCTCGCCAACAGCGGCAACCGCATCATGCTCGATGCCGAGAGCCTGCTGCTCAACGTGTGCGTTGCAGGCGTTTGAGGCTCCTTCTGCCCAAGCTGACATCCCCCCTGCGGCAGTGCCGACCAGGACCCCGATGCCAAGAAGAAGAGATAGGCGCGTGTGTCCCGCTGGCAATCACCACCACTTTTGTGCAGACAGAGGATGCCCTGTGGGCCGGGATGCTGCGGCAGCGCCGCCGGGATGCCTCTCTCGCACTCGCGCAGCCGCGTCTCGCCAGCGCTGTCCTGCCGTGTTGACGTGCGACATTGCTTTGATTACCACATGAAGCGCTGTGCCACGCCCGGCTCGCTGGGCCACTCAAACGGGCGCCGCAGAAAGACAAAGAGCGTGGCGGCGCCGAGGGCGAGGTTGAGTGCGGCCTCGGCAAAGAGGGCCGCGCGCGCCCAGGGCGGCGGCGTGGGCGGGCCCAGCAGCGCCGACGCGGCCGGAGCTGCTGCTGCTGCTGCTGCTGCTGCGGGAGCGGTGGGCTCGGCATCGGCCGCCGCTGCAGTCTCGCCTGGTGCGCCGTGCCGGCCAGGCAGCAGATGCAGCCGCATCACGAGGTACGGCAGCAGAAAGTAGCGCGGCTCGAGCAGCGGCGAGGGCACGAGCGTGAGCGCGGCGCTGAGCACGACGCCGAGCAGCCAGAGCGGCGACTGCGTCGTGGCTGCATGTGGGGAACGAGGAGGGAGAGGATGGGGGGAGAAGCGTCGTCAGCCACACGCACTGCCAGGGTTGTGCCACTCCTCTGCTGTGCCCTCTGCTGTGCGCCACTTGCGCCGCCTACTCACCCAGGGCGTCCCACCACATTCGTGCCGCGAGCGCATACAGCGGCACCAGGGCATGGCGATGCGGGCTCAGGACTCTGCGCCATGCGTAGAACGCATAGTGGCGATTGTCGGCCAGGAGGAACGGGTGGGCGACGCTGCCGCACTGCACGGCCGCGCCCATGGCGCCGAGCAGTGCCGCCGACGAGGCCAGCGCCTGCGTGCTGCCGGCACAGCTGCGCCACGTGCGGCGCGCCAGCGCCAGCGGCCCCCCGGCCTGTGCGAGGAGCGCCGGCCAGCCAAAGAAGAGGGCAAAGGCGGCGAGGTACGGCAGCTGCGCCAGATGCAGCGACACCTCGTGGTGCGCCTTGTCGCCGAGCACGATGCTGCCGCCGTTGTGTGCGAGAAAGAGGAGGAAGAGGCCAAAGACGGGTAGGTAGGGCAGCGCGATGCCGGCGGCGCGCATACGCGGCATGCAGGCGAGACGCCGCAGGGCCGAGGCCAGTGGCGTGCCTGGCGCACTGGCGACGCCGGGCAGGGAGATGAGCGTGGAGCAGAGAATGAAGGCCAGCCAGACGATGTTGGTCTGTCGGAAGAAGAGGGAGATGAGGCCGAGCTAGGGAGGACGCGAGTCAGTTCTGAGAGAGAGTGACGCAGGGCACGTAAAGGAGGGCCGAGACAGGAGGTAGCAGTCTATGGCCCTTCTGCCGCAGAGGACACCGACAGCACGCCCTTGTTTGCCTCGCCCACTCACCGCCGCCGCACTGACGTGCCTGTGCAGTCTCGCCATCAGCAGTGCCGCGACGACGCACACGACGGCGCCCACGTCGGTGTAGTAGAGGCAGGCGAAGAAGACGAGCGGCGGCAGGCTGGCGACGGCGTGCGCCTCGGCGGCGCGCCACGCCGCACGTGTGCCGAGCGCCGCGGCATCCTCGGCGTCGAGCACGTCGGCCAGCGTCAGCTGCGGTTCATTGGCAAGGAGCGCTGGCGGCGCCGCCTTTGCGCGGCGAGAGCGAAGTGCCGCCCGCGCCGGGGCATCGGCGCGCATGCCGGCCGTGCGCGTGGCGCTGCGAGCGGGCGCCTGCTGCTGCGTGACAGCGGCGGCATAGGCCGGCGGCAGCGCGTCAGCGGCGAGCAGCACGCTGCGCAGCGCGCCGACGAGGTGCGGCAGCAGCAGCAGCAGCAGCACGTTTGTGCCGCGCAGAAAGGCGACGTCGGCGCAGGCGCGCGCGCCGGTGAGCGCCGCGGGCACGAGGCGGTGCAGCGCGAGCGAGAGCAGATAGACGCCGGGCGGCGTGGTGAGCTTGGCGTCGTACGTCCAGTCGCGCGCGCAGAAGCGGCGCGCCTGGGGGATGTGGAACACCTCGTCCTGGCGGCGCGTGTCAGTAGAGCGTGGAGTGCAGCACGAGCGAGACGCACCATGTACGGATGCGGCACGCCGCGGTTGACGAGATCGCCGGCGCCGGCGACGAGCAGGGCGAAGGCGAGGCCGATGAGCTGGCGCGGGCCGAGGAGGCGCTCGAGCGACGCGGCCATGGCGGCGAAGGAGGATGGAGGGAGGAGGAGGGCAGGGAGGAGGGAGGCGCGTCCGTGCGCGCGGCGCGCCAAGAAGATGGGCCGCCGCGCAGCGAGGGCGCGTCCCGAGTCCCGCGCGCGGCTCCCACGCTGGGCATGCTCGCGCACGTGCTGCCTTGCGTGCCTGCCGGCGGCATGGCGACTTGGGCCGGCGCGGCGCTAGAAGTAGCAGACAGCAGCCGGGCGGGCGGCGGCGAGTGCACTGCGGCAGGCATCAGCGAGGGTGCAGTGCCTCACAGCACCCAGCTGCAGACGACGAGGCGACGGCGCAGGCCGGCACGCAGCTGAGGCGGGCGTGGCGGACGTGCGCTTGGCCGGCGCGCGCGGTGCTTTGGAGTTGGCGCGCGACGCTCAAGATCGAGGCGTGACTCGCGCCTCCTGCTTGCCCTCCTCCACCATCGCCCATCCTCGCGCCATGACGGCGGCCCTCTCCAACGGCCACGGCGGCGCCAGCAGTATGGCGAGCAGCAGCGCAAATGGCGCCTCGCACGCCAGCGCCGATGCCTCCTCCTCCACTCTCCCTCTGCCCTTCCGCGGGCCCACCAGTCCCGCCTCGGCGCAGCTGGCGTCGCAGTCATACGTGCTGCTGCCCGCCTTCACGCTCGACTCGGGCCGCGTGCTGCACAACGCGCCCGTCGCCTTTCGCACGTGGGGCACGCTGGCGCCGGCGCGCGACAATGTGCTCGTCGTGTGCCATGCGCTGACGGGCAGTGCCGATGTCGAGGACTGGTGAGTGGGTGCGCGAAAGGGAAAGGGGGGGGGGGGCGAGGGCGTGGGAAAGCGGCCCCGAGTGGCAGCAGAGGGCGATGCGGAGGCAACTGCGAGGTGGCGCGCGCAAAGGGGCGGCAGCGCGCAGCGCAGTGACGGCGCCGCGGCGGCAGCAGCAGCAGTCGCGGCAGCGCGCATCACGGCGTTG